ATATATATATATATATATATATATATATATATATATATATATATATATATATATATATATATATATATAGAAATGTAAAATTGGTCTATTTTAGTTCCTAAAAAGTTCAGGGTACCAAGTTTATAAACTTTTAAATGTGTATGAACTTTGAAGTGTGAGTCTAACTTGTAACGGTGTGTTTTTATAGATTTCTTATAGAGTTTGGTGTGTTTTTATAGATTTCTTATAGAGTTTAATTAAACAATTTTTAAAGTTTAGGATCTATGAGCAGGTGGAGACATTTTTTTTTATACCACGCTCAATTATTCGGGTTATAAAATGTTAGTAGGTAGAAAAATGTGAATCGATTCAATTCAATCTAATCCAATCCAATCTTAGAACAAACTAACTCAATCCCACCCAACTTGAATTGGGTTGATCAAATTTTTTTGAATTTTTTAACACCCCTATGATCTATCTTATTTGGAGAAAATCCTTATAAGATGGTACTATTATGACCATTAAGAGAATTTAATTATTATTCTTAAATATCCCACTAAAAATCTTTGAACGCTAGTTTTATTCTTTGCAACAAATCAGATAATATGAAATTGCTTATATTTACAATCTATTATGATGTATGCATGAATACATCGTAAATATATAAATATAAAAAGTAGATTTAAATACTAAAAAAAATGTACCTAAAAAGTTGACAATAGATAGCAAAAGATGTTAAGAGTATTAAAACAATTAATGTTAACCAAATTAAATTTGATGATTAATATTTCCAAGAATGGTCAATGGAAAAGTCCTCAACTTCTGAGAAATTCAAACATAAGCCAACTGACGCCGGCCTGAGCCACTTCTGACCACTTTGGCTCCACTCTAGCCAGTCTTTTCAGCCGCAGCTTGCATCTCGACTTGGTCCTTGCGCTCTGCTTCCAACGGCTTGGCGACTCGATTAACGCCGTAACTTATTTGCATAGACACTTCAATTTGATGCCTCGGGACCCTTTTCAACATTTGGGAAGTCCGGAGCAGATTTTGACGTTTTCACCCAGTATTTGTGAGCTCTAAGTATGTTTAATTCATACCTATCTTGGATGATCTCAATATTACATTATACATTAATTCAATGTTATAGACTCTTAGCTGATCCAACCTCGTTAGAAGGATGGTTAGTGACTCTTAGCTGAGGCCAAACAAAGAATCGTTGGTTGAATGACTTGACTACGATGTGATGCTCATGTTCTATAACCCCTACATGTATTGTGATTTTATGATTACTTGATATATTTGAAGTTATGTTTATGCTATGATATACTATATGACGTGATATTAGCTATGCTATGTTATAAAGTATCATGTGATATGTTCACTCAGTCCCTACTAGACCATCGATTTGTAGAATTCCCCACGCTACCAATCGCTTCAGATCTATCAAATCTCCATTAACAACCATAAACAGATCGCCGAAATGGTAATTTATTCAGAAACGATTTCACACAGAAAACAAATTTTCAGAAACGATTTCACACAGAAAACAAATTTTCAGAAACGATTTGACACAGAAATCAAATTTTCAGAAACGATTTCACACAGAAAACAAAATTTTCAGAAATGATTTCACACAGAAAACAAATTTTGAGAAACGATTTGAAGAGATGAATCGGAGCGGAAATGAGTCCCTCAGAATGCCTAGCATCTACCTGGAATTGGCATGGAGCAGCTGGTTCCTCGACCTCAGCGATTAGCCATCGGGAGCGCCAGCAATGGACGAAACCCTCCATGTTCCTTTTTGTTCAGATTACTAAACGTTTCCTCATCGGGACTTAATCGGAGATGAGATGCCTCTGCGTGTAGCCGTAGCGGCGGGGAGAGGAGAAAGACGTAGCTGGTAGCCTGGAACTAAAGCTTCATTCCTCGCCTATTTTAGGGCTCCGTTCGTGGAGGAAGAATGGGCCTGTTACCTCTCTTAGTGGGCTTTTTGGCCCATTATGAAACTAGTTCGGCCCATAAAAAATTAATATAAATTATAGAACAAACACCCAATATTGCACTATACTACACCCATACAAAATTAATATAAATTCAAGTCAATTATATTAACTAGTTTTTTTAAAACTAAATTAATATTAATTGCAAGTTATTTTTTAATTATATTTTAAAATATTTTTATTCTCAAATTAAAGCTAATGCATTACAAATTCTATTTAAAAGTGGTCAATAAAAAATTAAAATGTTATTAATTTTATATTATAATATTCTAGCAGGTTGATATGTTAATAAGACATATAGTTTAAATAAATATCCTTAAAATAATAATTAAAAAAATATACTCACGAATCACTCTTTATTTTTATTAAAAAAATTAAAATTTCTTACTATCAATATATGGACGAAAATGCCTCATACATTATTCTCAAACATTTTAATAATATCTTTAGAAGTTTATGAATAATTTTGACACGTAAGAAGGTAAAAGTATTTTTAAACGGTAAAAAAGAAAATTAATATATTTTTGAAAATTTTAAATTTTTTTAAAGGTATTAAATTTTTTAAATACTCTTCAAAGTCGTTTTTTTTTTTTTTTTTTTTGAAACCTCAAAAATATTTTTTAAACAAAATATTATTTTTTTTATTTTATTTTTTTTTTTTTTTTTTTTTGTCTAAAGTTAACGGTATTTTATTATTATTATTATTATTTTCAAAGTTTTAGGGTATTTTTCGAATTTTGATTTAAAAATTTAAGGGTATTATTAAAATTTATAAAAAATGGTTTTATTAAAGATATAAAATTTAATTATATTTTAATTAATGGATTAAAAAAGAAAATTATTTAAATTAATTGTCATATTTAAAAATTAAAAAAATATATAACTTTCCTTATAATTCAACAAAAAGATTATGAATGTTTAATATATTTAGGTATTATTGCAGTTTATTTAAACAAAGAAATAAAATGGAACCATACTGAAACGATAGGCATAAATCATTAAAAAGTCAAATCCGAATCTCTGACATACTGACGATCAAAAGAAAAAAGAAAAAAGAACGGCAAGGATTGGGTTTAAAGTTCTCAGTGGTCTACACGCGGCCGCAGACAATCCCTGCTCTTTGAAAACGGCTATCTGTCATATTTTTTATTTGAGAAAAAAAAAAAAAAAAAAGGATAATGTTCGCCGTCCACATCAGTACATCGCATTAAAAACTCACAGACCCACGTGACCACCCACGTGCCCTCTCCACATTCATTGCATGTTGTCACAGCAACGCGTGTCCACACCCAATCCTTTAAATTCGACACGTCGCTCCATTTGACAGCCGACATACCCCATAACTGCCCCAGACGTGTCGTTCCAGAATCCCCAGCCATTGTTTGTACTAAACCCCAAATGTTGCGGATTCAGTGGAAAGGAAATCATTTTGTTTTCTGAATTTTCTGTTTGTTTCCCGGGAAAATGGCACTCGGCGAAGAACCGGCTGGATTATATGGTGAGCTTGTTTTATATATATATATATATATTTTTTTTTTAATGTGTTTGTGAATATGTTATTGTGTGGACATGGTGGAGAAAAGGATGGTTTTGATGTTTGTTTCTCGGGAAAATGACCGAGAAAATGAGAAGGGTTGGTTGGTGAGAGAATCCGTTCATGATTCCTTTTGTTGGAGTCATATGTTTTTTTTGTTCAATTAAGGGAGTGTTTTTACTATCTATGATATTTGGAGGAATTATCGTATATTGACCTGACCTAAAGTAAAAGTTCTTTCATCGTTCTCCTTCATTTGAACCTTTATTTTTTGAGGTATTTCACTTTTATAGTCGATAATATAAAAGATCAACTCAAAATATTGAACCTTTTCCAATCTTACTCCTGAATCGGAACAAAAATAAAAACAGTTGAGTCCGTGTGATCGTCTACTTTTCCAGTGAGATGGAAAATTAGCAACTCTTATTTCGTTTGGCCCTAAATTTTTTTGAATTGAGCGGGAGGTCGATCCTCTTTTTGAGTGTGTTTTTTAGTTTGATTACTCCTAACACAGCACACTTTATTAAAAAGACTGAACATTCAGGCGAGTCATTTAGTGATGTAGTGCAAAGTGAGCTTAGTACGTCCTAAGTAGATGGAGATGAGAGCATTGTTAATTTCTCATAGAACATGCATGAAAGTTTTTAACTATAGAAAGTTCTCCATCTTTGTCTTCGTTACATCAGTAGATACTTCTCATCAAATCGAGACAGGTTTTTAATTATTTAAATATTTATTAAAATCAGACATGTAATCTATCCTACATTTTTGTAAGTGTTAAGGATAGTTGACCATTCATTATAAGGCAAATATCTAGATATTTGCCTTACATTATGGGTTACCATATTTGCTCTTTTATTAAATGCAAATATATTGTATTCATTTATTATTCTTTTCTTTTATCGCTATTTCCTTATTATTTCTAATTTATCTTATTTTTGTATTCTGTAAATGATTATAAATAAGAGAACTCTCACCACCATTTGAGTGTGGTGGATTAATCAAACATTCACAGTAAGGTTTATTGTAGGTGAAAATATTTGTGTAATCCACCTATCATTTACGTGTGAAAATTATCTTATTTATAATCAAATAATTCTTTTTGTAATTATTTATTTTTGACAGTAGTTGGAGGCTGCTAGAGGAAATCAAAGGGAGCGGCAAGTCACCAAAGAGATCGTATACATCTTTCTCGTCAAGTGGGGCCCACTCACGAGCGATTATCACACATCGTCCGTTGATCTGTCTCCAAGAAGTCTGGAGAAGCACGGCCGTCCGATGAACGACGCAGTCAAAGTCACTGAACTCAAAGGAAGCCTCCTCGAGAGAATGGACAAGATTGAGGATAGAGTCCTCAAGGTAAAACCACTCATAAATTATAATATTATAATATTAAAATATTAAAATATTTGAAATTTAATTTAATTTTGTAAAGAAATATTTAGTTTTTGGTGTGTTGAATGTTGAACAGCTTTGTTTGCAAGTAGAGGGAGAGATTGAAAGGGAGAGGGAGATGATAATGGTTGAGAAGAGTAGGAAGAAGCCTAAGAAGAGCTTTAAACAACTTTTTCAACACTGTATCACCTGGACGGGAAAGATTTGATTTACGGTTTCGATTAATGTATGACTTGTGATGACTCGACTTCACTTGACCTTTTAATCTCGAGTTGGATAGTTTTGGTTGACGAGCATCAGTGTACAATGATCGTCAATCAAGTTATGCGTAGGACATTTAGGTAGGAGGGTTGAGGGTTAATCCTGAATTTGTTTAGATAAGGTCGGGAGTCTTGTTCTTATAAAGCTATTTATACAATCAACTTGTAATTATATAAATAATTTGATCCGATGTGGGATATCTTATACAGTTTATATACGATTGTGCCCTAAACTTGGAGGGTCATTTTTCATTTCATTTTTTTATTTTTTGGTCCCAAGGAAATTAGGTCCTAAGAGGATTCACCACCATGTTCATGTGGAAGAGAATCATCCCTACAGGTGGAGGGTAGGGGCCCAGTTATTGGACAATCATTGTGGTGATGGGACAGTGGTTGAGGACGCCTACCCCTTACTTTGGGGTCCCTTTATGAGTTGGTGGGCCCTTGGATTAGTTGTGTTCAATAAATGAGAGCAACAAATTAGGAATTTGTGGGTTAATGATGTTTGACAAAGAGAGATCAAACAGATTAAGCACGAACACTGGTATGATACTGTCTACTTTGAGCATCAGCTTTCATGGCATCAGCTTTCATGGCTTTGCTCTGGGCTTTCCAAAAGGCCTCATACCAATGGAGTTAGTATTCCTCACTTATAAACCTATGATCATTCCCTAAATTAGCCCGACGTAGGACTTTCATCATCCAACACCTAAAATTTATTAAATTTAGAAAGACACAATTTACAAAATAAATAAAAAAAAAAAAAAAAAATTGGGCATCAAGTGTGGTGCTTGCTGTCACAGTTGCTTGTCCAAGACGTGTTGTTTGTGGCGACATGTCAGATTTCTCAATCATGCTAGTCTATGACATATTGTCTATGGTTGTATACTCGTTTCAACCTTATTTTTGCTTGTTTTCTTATTAGTTAGGTATTTACTATTCTTATTGTGATAATATAGGTGATGAGCAATCACCAAAATCGTGTGTACACTGCTCTGAACTTAAATGTACTATAAGGAGATACAACTAGTTGTCAATTCTTCATTTCTCCGTTATATACTATTAAAGTCGTGGTTATTGTTTATTCGCTTTTAGCTTCGTAACATTGTTTTCTTTTAAATTTTTTAAAAACATTCTCTCTCACGTTTTGTAAAACATTTTTTTTCAAACATGACCCGAGACTCGATTATACGTCAAGGTTGTTCTCAAAGTTTTAACTTTTCTACAACTAAAGTGTCCTGCTACCACAAGAATACAATTGTGACATTTGTGATATCGGCTTCAATATCTAAATTAGTAAGAGACATTATGATGCGATCAGAGTATAGAGAATTAGGGTTGATTTATGTCTTATATAGTTATAATGACATACATATAGGCTAGATGACGTGTTGCGAGTGTGCAAATTGTGCACCATTAGGCCGAAAAGACTAGCCTCGAGCTCACATCTGACCAAGGCTACGGTTGGCCACATGGACTCAGGCTTCAATAGTCCAATTCATTTGGTTCTGAGTATGATCTATTCAAGTGTTAGTAACAACGAATCTAGTATGTTTTTACCTGAATCTTTTTTTTTTTTTTGTAATAAATTCATAATAAAAAAATGTCGGAGGTTGAATCTAATAAACTCTTAACAACTTCTAATTTTTATTTTAATTATTTCATCAATGAGATATAAATTCATCAAATTTGAAAAATATTAAATAAGTAAAAGATTTATTATTAAACAAAATTTAAAATTTTTTTAAGATGAATCAAACACAAATTTAAAATTCTATTTATTTAAAAAATTGATTATTAAAACACTTAATTTATTTTGGTTACATTGATTGATTTACTTTTTTGTCCCTCTTTTTGTTGTCTTAAAAGTCTGCACCCCTCCAAATACTTTTCCAAAAAGTCATCAAATTTTTACAAATTTCAAATAATTTAGATCCAATTTTGATATCAACCTTGGTACTCATTTGTTTTGATATCTAAATTTTTAGATATTGATACCTTACATGCTATTTGTGGTATCAACCACTTTTCAACTTGGACATATATAGATAAATTAGATTAATGATTCAATTTTAGTTGAATAATTTATAAAAATGATGTTTTATGAAACTATATCGATTACAATATAATTTTAACGACCCTATTTTTTTTTCCCTTAAAAGTTAGACCGCTACTACATGTGTGTCATGACTACTATGATACTGTAGAAAGAAAGAAACGTGTACGATAATCATGGTGTACGCTTCTGTACAAAAGATACTACATAAGTATTCCATTCTCATGTCAAACAAAGATCTCGTGTGTAAATCATGGTATGTGATTATGATATATATCATACCTCTTTACTCTTCATGACATAACCTTCCTATGAGACAAACTATAACGACCCAAGCCCTTTCCCTTCTGGGCTTTAAAACGCGTCTGTTAGAAAAAAGTTCTCACATTCTTATAAAGGGTATTTCGTTCTCCTCTTCAACTCATGTGGGATTCTAACAATCCACCCCCCTTCAAGCCCAGTGTCTTTACTGACACACCTTCTCGTGTCTACTCCCTTTGAAGAACACCTCCTCGCTGGCAAATAGTTCGGTGTCTGGCTCTGATATCATTTGTAACAGCTCAAGCTCACCGCGAGTAGATATTGCTCTCTTTAGGCTTTCCCTTTTGGGCTTCCCCCTCAAGGCTTTAAAACGTGTCGAATACAGAAAGGTTCCCACGTTCTTATAAAAGATGTTTTGTTCTTCTTTCCAACGAATGTGGGATTCTCACACAAACGTATGTGGACATGACATATCATTCATTCTTATCATACATGGCTCATCAAGTGTCTTATAGGGCATAATGTGAACAAGGTATCATAACATACATGGATTGACATATTGGAAGTACATGCATCACAAGAAGTTCATAAACATCACATAATACTAGTAATAACACGTAGATAAGCCACACAGTATGTGTTATTCATACAACATATAATTCATCCAACATAGCCCAAAGGCGTTCCAATAATAAGTTCACTTACTTTATTGGCCTAAGTCGAAATCACTAAAATATGAGTCGGTGTCCATCTGATCCTATTTTTTGAGGTTTTATTATACCTATAATGTCTCATAGTTAAAACATATTTAAGGAATAATTCACCTAACTTTATTATTCATTCCAAACATGATTTAAACAACATCTTTACTGACCTAAAAACTTACAAATATGTCACAAATGAATCCAAACGATCCAAAATAGTCGCTCAATCTGATCCGAGGAGAATTCTAACTACGACTTCGAGTCGGACACATGGAGAAACTGAAACGATCGACTACGAGTCGTATCGATTTCTGGAACGAGGGTTCGGACACAAGTGCTGAGGACTGGACGACTGAGCTATGCAAAGCGAATGTTTGGGTCAAAGCTACAACTTACGTTTGTTTTGGTTTTCAATTTTGGTTACATTGGTTTATTTGCTTTTTTTTTTCTCTTTTTATTGTCTTAAAAGTCTCTACCCTCCAAATACTTTTCCTTAAAGTCATCAAAAGAGTGGGTGGAAAATAATTTTTTTAAAAAAATTGAAATGATTTAGATCCAATTTTGAATTCAACTTCGGTACTTATTGGTTTGATATCTAAATTCTTAGATATTCTCATTTAGTGTCTAAGCATTATAAGAAAAATTCATTCATGAGCTTCAAACGCGTAGACATTGGTTCATACAATTTTAGTTGGGGAAGTTCAAAGCAAAGCCATGAGAGTTTATGCTCAAAATGGACAATATCATACCATTGTGGAGAGTCGTGTTCATTTAACAGAAGTGAATCACATACGATTTCCTATTAAATATTAATATTCTCAATTAATAGATTTATAAAGAGATGTTATACTAAATCATTACATTTAATCCCTCCAGTCACATGTTCTCATATAAATAATTTTGATTTAAATCTTTTGTAATAATGATAAGTGGGTCGTATCAACGGTGCTATCATAATAAGACACTCAATTAATACGATTACTTGAATGTCAACTAAAATAATTAAAATTATCCCTGAAATTACTTTTATTTAATTAAACTTGCATTGGATTTCATTATAAAGAAATTATTTTGAAAATTTCATAAATAAGCTTCTAGAACAATGTAGAAAATTTTTACTCAAACACATATATGCAAAGTCAAAATCAAATTACACCATTAAATTTCACATCTAACAAATAAAAACAAATTATTTAATTATTAAAGAAGTACCATATTGCCCTTTTAAGCAAGAAAAATTGAGAATATTTATGAATTTATTCCATTTGATTTTATTTAAAATTATTGGACCAAATTCAATAAAAAAAAAAAGAAAAAAACACTTTAATACATATTTATCTTTATTTTATTTTTATATTGGTAACATTGATTTATTTGCTTTTTTGCCCCCTCCCCTTCTTTTTATTGCCTTAATAGCCCCTACCCCTCAAATACTTTTCTAAAAAGTCCTCGAAAGAATGGTGGGAAAATAAATTTTTACAAACTTCAAGGAGAGAAACATAAAAACAAGAATAAAACGATTTTTTTTTAAGATGATTTCGACTTTGACGTTGAAAATATATGGTTAAATGTAACTGTTCAAGTCCAACACTAATAGATATTGTCCGTTATAATTTGTTAGTATTGTTGTCAATGTTACGGTTTTAAAACGCGTCTATTAGAGAGAAGTTTTCCTACTTTTATAAGAATGTTTTGTTTTCCTCTCCAACTCCAACCAATGTGGGATCTCACAACCCATACAATCTACCCCTCTTAGAGACTCAGCGTCCTCGCAAATGCAACATAGAGAGGTTTCCATACTTTTATAAGAAATGTTTCGTCCCCCTCTCCAACCGACATGAGATCTCACAATCCACCCTCCTTAGAGACTTAGCACTAATGTGAGATTTCATAACCATAACCCACTCCACTTACAGGTTTAGAGTCTTCGCTGGCACACTACTCGATGTCTGGCTCTAATACCATTTATAACAGTCCAAGCCCACCTCTACTAGATATTGTCCGTTTTGGCTCATTACATATCATTATCAGTCTCATAGTTTTAAAATACGTCTACTAGGGGAGGTTTCCACACCTTTATAAGAAAAGTTTCATTCCCGCTCTAATCGATGTGAGATCTCACAATCCAAGCCCTCGAGGGTTTAGTGTCCTCGCTAGCACACCATTCGGTGTCTGGCTCTAATACCATTTGTAACAGCTCAAGTCTATTGTTAGTAGATATTGTCCATTTT